GGACTTCCTGGAAAGCAGAGTGAACTATCCTGGTTCGATTAAGTAAAGGCAATACTTGGTTAGAGTTAAAGGATCGTGGCTATGGTTACCAAAGAAGTGAACATTCACCACCCCGACCTTCTTACTCCCCCCTACTTCCTGCATTTGCACTGAAAGCATCAGGAGGTGCAGAATGGTTCGATATGAAGGTTAAAAAAACTGACATTTAACAGCAGGAAGAGCGTGTATGTAAAATGGTGTATTAATGGAGTCATCATGGATGTTTAGTAATACCTGTGCTTTTCCTGCAATGACAAATCAAAATGTCTGCTCTGAAAAAAATCCCCATTACTTGATCTAATGTCTCCTGAGCACATTGATGTACGGAATAACTGTCACCACACTGAAACTACTGAATCAAGACGGACAAAATGGACATCACTGCAGTCTTTTCCTTTTGCTGTCACTCTGCTAACATGATTGCATGTTACTGCTAATTACTCCCCATTACTGGGCCCCATTAAGGCTTCAGCCGTTTGACGTGTGTTAACTCCAGTATTCGGATGAATTGGCAGCCGTCAATCCTGGCTGCTCTGGATGTCTATCTCTCTTCCTCTTGGAAGTCAAAAGCATCCAACGTACACAATCTATACGATGTGTCCAAAGTGACGTTAGTTTCTCTGCATTTCAACATTTTCAGCAAGATTTTAAGAACCGACGCCGACTCTGAACGCGACTGAATGATGATCAGTGATGTGATGTGCGACTTTGAAGACAGATTTTTCTCCTAAAGTGCCACATCTTCCTTCAAATTAAGAGTCGAAACACACAGTCAACAGCAAAACGTTTACATCTGCTGAAAATCAAACAAAGTATGCGCCGCATGAAATCACTGGGCAGAAATAATGAATACACCAGTACAAATAATGATATCATCTACCAATTAGAGCTGGTAATGATGGTCTACACCCATTGCCAGTGGCTTTGGGCACACACACACACACACACACTCATGCATGGTCAGTAGGCGTAGAGCCACCAGACGTAGCAAGAAATTTCAGCGTGTGCCAAAAATCCAACTAACATTTTGAGGCTTAATGAAATTCAAATCGAGAACACATTATGGCGGCGATACGAACACACTGTTCTGCCAGCCGGTGTCAACGGATGTGTGTGCGGTTTCCATGGCGACAGAGAAGATGCAGAGGAAAGAGTGCAAAGCCATTGTTCACCAATTAACCAGAGCTATAGACGGTGTGCATTTTATGATTGTTAATTTGTGTGTGTGTGTGTGTGTGTGTGTGTTCCCTACACTGCGATAAAGAAAAGGCTGGATTGGGTTAGTGGAGGCATGGAGGGAGGATTTGGATTGAAGATTAACCCACTGCACATCAAAGATGATCAGCCAGCTAGCAGATATGTGTCAGCAGGCCAGAGAGGAAAAAAAAAAAAGAGACAGGAGGAGGAGGAGGAGGAAGATGAAAGAAGAGGAGGAGAGCATAGAAGAGGCTGTACGGCCATGAGTTTCAGTGCAGAAATGAGAAATCATTACTCCGTCCATCACCTATCTACCAGCCTACCGGAGCATGGGGGGAGGGGACGATGGGAGGGACGGCGGCATGTGTATTAAACGCACAGAAGGAGGGTTGAAAATGGCCACCGGAGAAAAAGCCGACAGGAAATGACTGACGGTATTCTGGTCGGCTATTGTCAGTTGAGGGCAGTTGGCCTTGGTCGTCTGAGCATCATTCACAGATGTGGGGCAAGCTGCCGCCTCCACACTCCACCGGTGAAGCGAGACAATGTGTGTGTGTGTGTGTGTGTGTGTGTGTGTGTGTGTGTGTGTGTGTGAAGGGGATGGAGGAGGACATGTTAGCCCAAGGTTGTTTTAAGGCGTCTGCACCAGATCTGCCAACCTCTTTTTGTTGAACATCCACCTGAGTTTGAGCTGACAAACTCACTGCGGCAGCATCGATGAAAAAATACTCCTCCTGAACTCCTGAAGGGGAGTTAAAAAGTGCTCGTTAGTGCTCACAGGTGAGTTTAGGATGATCCTATCGTATTTTATTATTTTAACGTCCTATATTCAGCCCAGAAATACAGAGTATTTGATGGATTGCCATTAAATTCTGTACATTCTAGGTCACCAGAGGATGAATCCTAATGACTCTGGTGATCCCTTGAGTTTTCCTATAGTGCCATCATCAGGTCAAAAGAGTAAATTGTCCAATACTTTAGTTTATGTCCAGATAGCTGAAAAACTAACGACATTCCCATCAGCCTCACCTGTTCTTTGTTTTTAGTGCTAATTGGCAAATATTAGCATGCCATGATGGTGAAAAAATTCTCCTAAAAGAGAATTTGACCACGTTTGCACTGCAGATAGAGCGGCTTAATTCTGTCTCGTTTGAACAGACCCACTGGTTAAAATAACGTCCCTGCAGTAGAAAACGTCTTTATAGATCCAGCAGTTAAAAATGATTGGATGAGATTGGGGGGGGGGGCTTCTTGCAGTGCGAGAAAGAACATTTCTTTTTCATCCCCTCTTGCGAGGAGCCAGCTGGTGTTTCACCTCCAGAGCAGCGGGGAGTGAGGTGCTTTGCTCAAGGGCACTTAATTAGACAAGACTACACAGAGAGTTGAGTTTAGGGTCAACCACAAGGCCAACATGCCTCATCTTTTCATATTTGGTAGTATCGCTGTTTGGATTTATAGTTTTGATGTAATATTCATCTTAAAACAGAGCAGCTTGAAATGTGGGGAAATATGCATGTTGTCACCATGAGGTTGCTAGGCAACCAGCAGAAGGAAGGAACAGACCAAAAAATTATGTTTTAACACTTGGATTTTTAAACAGATTAACATGTTAATAAATCAGATTTAAAGGTGGTGGCAGGTGAATTTTATTTATTTTTTAATCTTTGGACCATCCATGCTAGTCGTTCCCCCCTGCTTCCAGTCTTTATGCTAAGCTAAGCCGGCTGTAGCTTTACATTTCACACATGAAATCTTCTCATCCAACTTTCTTTTGCTAAGACAGTGAATAAGCATAACTCCTTCATTGTCAAACTATTGCTTTAAAGGACCCGTGTGTCTGACTCAGTGCTATCTAGCCGTGAAGTTGCAGATGGCAACCAACGCCTTCCAAGCATGTAGGAAAAACTACGGTGGCTGTGAAACTCACAAAATACACAAAAGGCTCAATCTAGAGTCAGTGTTTGGTTTGTCCATTCTGGGCTACGGTAGAAACATGGCGGTTCAACATGGTGGAGAAAAGGACCCGCTCCCTCTGTAGATAAACACAGCTCATTCTAAAGTAACAAAAACACAACTATTCTTATATTCAGGTGATTATACACTAATGAAAACATACCTATGAATATTAAATTCCATTTCTACCAATAGATCCTCCTGAATGTTACACACTGGACCTTTAAGTCTTTAAATAATCTACACACTTGTCTCATATTGTATTACACAGCCTGGACAAGTTTATAAGAACCATCATATCTATTGCATTTGAGGGGGGAAACTGAAGCAAAGGCTGAAAGTATATAATCTGGTCAGTGTGTTAAATCATTATACATTTGGCTCAGATGTGCTGCTGACAGGGAACATGGCTCTTGGATGTTCCACCAATGTGAGTTTTTCCCCCTTTAGAAAGCTTCCAGATGGGTTTTTGCGCTCCAAATAAAACACACGCAAGAAAAACATTTTTCTTTTTTCCCCCTCTGGACCTTCACCTTGCAGTCACACACCATGAATTTCAGCCAGTGCAATGACAAGAATCAGCCAGATTATATTGGATTATAACGCCAGACTGATTCCAGCTCATGCACGCTCCTGCATTATTAATCTGACAGTAATGTAGCCCACCGTGCGCAATGAATCTCAGACAAAGAGACACTGAAAGAAAGGAAAACCTCCGTGTCTCTTTTTATGTTTACTCCAATGTTTTTTCTTCTTCTCTTTCCCTCTCTGTGTATCAGAATGTCCGTCCAGATCCCTTCATGAATTATTCATCAGGTCTGTCCCCCCCCCCGGCCCTAATCCTCGCCTTTGTGTCGCTGTAGTGCCAGTGCGCCTCCAGGGATCCGGTTTACTGCATCGGCTGGACGCTGTCACTGTCACACATCTCTGTAATTTCTCCTATAATATTCCTACAGCGGCTTATAGTTCGCCTGCAATACTCCAGGTGTTGATTAAGTGACCTGATTTAGCTGAGATTGCCTCGTAAAATGCCACTTTAATCGGTGTTCCAATCAGTGTCTGGAGGGAGTTCAATGGGTTTTCTCTTTTTACCCCCCATGCTGTATAATGACTTACAATGTCTACAGTACTGAGCACTGAGCTGACAGTGACCTTATTGTTTATTCATATTATAAAATATCTCTCATTATTAGTCCTTCCAACAATATTCCAATGAATGTCCTAATATCGTGTGTGTCTATGGGGTCCAATGGGTTTATATTGACCTATTTTTTACCTCCTCTGTCTCTATAATATTCATAAGGACTTAGATCGTCTACTTGTGTCTTCATCCTGACCTAATTTCACAATGGTTAAAGCGATGTTTGCCTCCTGTAACATTTTATAAATTCTCATACAGGGACATAGTGTTCAATAATGACTTATAATCATCAATGTCTCTTATACATCGATTTTAAATTCCTATGATATCCCTACAGTGTGATATTAAGCCGATATTTGGCTGTAGTATCCATAACAAATGTGTATTACTCACATTTTTTGGAGACAAGATTCAACCAAAATCAGATTGAGTAATAATGTCACCACATTTTACTAATCGACAGTCTATCAATGCCAGTTGAGTGTGAAGAGCTTCCTAACCCACAATCCGAGCCTCACTGACCTCCTTTCTGGCTGCCCTGTGGGAGTGTGTTGAGGTAGCCCTGAATCCACAGAGAGAGGGGGGACATGCTGCTGCAGCAAGAACATTTAGGCAATAAATGTGGACGTTTTTTGTCTTTGCATGATTAAAGTGCACAGCAGCTTCTTACCGTGGACAGACAGCGGGATCAAGTGCACAGCCAGGACGCACGACAGCAGCGTTAGTCTCCAGCATCCCGTGCAAAAGCTCGCCTCCTTCCCCTGCATCCTCGCCGTGCAGTGGTAGCCTAAGATGATCAGACGAAGAGAGAGAGAAAAAAGAAAATCCCGGTGCTAATAAGTGCTAATAGAGTTCAAAAAAATGTGGCCAAAAAGTAATCCGGACAAGTGGGTCTGTTTGATTTGCGTGCAGTCTAGACTCCAGCCTCCCTGCGCTTCTCCTCCATAGCCGCCTGGTCTCAGCTGTCTCCTCGTATCCGCTGTTTCACACGCTCGGCTCAGTTCACTGAGGTTGGTTACGGCTCCATTGCCACAGAACGGCGGTGGGGAGACGGCGAGGCGAGGCGAGGGTGGGGTGGTAGTGGTGGTTGTTGTGCGGGCGCGCGCGGTGGTGGGGGTGGGGGGCGCGTTTGAGGGCGCAGACGCACGCCGGTTGGCTCGGTTTGGCTCGGAACGGATCGGTGCTTTGGGCACTTGGTGGCTGAGAGGGAAACAAACGCACGGCGGAGTGGAGCGCGCTCGGCAGCCTTCTCATCATCTGAGGGAGGAGGAGGAGGAGGAGGAGGGAGGGTTGTTGATGCCCCCCCCCCCCCTCTCATCTTCACCCCCCTTACAAAGAAGCTCCCCTCCTCCTCCTCTCTCCATCCTTCCCTTTCCTAAAACTTCTTCCCACTTTTATGTTCTTCAAAGCGTCGCGTCTTTCCTCTTCCTCATACTTTCAGTCCTCTTCCCTCCAGACATTTCCCCGCCTCTTCCTCCTAATTTCCTTCAACTTCCAAGACTTTTTTCTTCTTTAACCTCCTTTCACCTCTTTCCAAAGATGTTTCACTTCCTTTCCTCCTCTCAAATTCCCATACTTCCTTTTCCTCTTCTTTCTCCTCCTCCTAGTTCTTTAAACCATCCATGTTTCTCTTTTTTGTCTTCCCTTCCTCTTTTGCTTCATTTCCACAAAACATTTTGTCGTCTCTTGTGCACCTTTTTCAAGATGTTTCCATTCCTTTTTCGCCCCTTTCCTTCCATTCTCTCCTCCACTGGTTCCCCCTTTCCATCCTTCCTTACTCTTCCTAAAATTTGCCTTACTTCCATTCCCTTCTTCGTCTTCCAAGACATTTTGACTAATTTTCTTCTTTTTTTACATCCATAAAAATGTTTAGTCCTCACTCCTGCACTATTCCAAAGATGTTTCCCTTCCTCTTCTCTCCTCAAATTCCCAAATTTGTCCCCTCCTTCCACTCTTCCGTGCTTCCTTTCCTTTCCCTAAGAACTATTCCCTACCCCCCATCTACGAGACACTTCCCTCCTCCTCTCTCCATCCTTCCTTTTTCCTAAAACTTTTTCTGCTTTCTTCGTCATTCTCCCAGACTTTTTAAACATCCTATATCTCTCGTTTTTCACCCGGAAAAAAACTTTCTTTCCTTTAGTCTTCCAGTCTTCCTCCCTCTTTTCCAGAGATATTCCTCTTCACTTATTTTTTAATCATCCAAAACTTTAATATCCTAATAACATCTTTCTCCTTCCGGAAAACTTTTGTCCTCTCTCCCTGCAACTTTCCAAAACTCTTTTTCCTACTCCTGCACTTCCTTCCTCCTGTGTCCTTCCCCATACTTTCCTTTTCCCTAACTGTTCCTCCTCCTTTCCCCTTTCTTCCTGGAAACACATCCCCCCCTCTTCCTTACTCCATCGGCATCCCATGACATCCTCCCTCTTCCTCCTCTCACACTCCAAATTTTTTCTCCTCCTCTCACATGGCTCTTTTCCCCATCTTTTCCACCTCCTCTGTTCCTTTCCTAAACCTCTCCTACCTCCTCCCTCCCTCCCTCCATCTGTTTCCCAAAGCTTTCAGTTATTTGCTATTCATCTGAGAGTGTTGGATCTCAATAGGAGTGCAACACTCTGCTCTGGACACTTTTTCTTCCTCCCCAAGGGAAATCGGACTATTTCGAAGGAGCTTAACTTCCCTTCATCGCTCTGTGTGTGTGTGTGTGTGTGTGTGTGTGTGTGTGTGTGTGTGTGTGTGTGTGTGTGTGGAGAGGATGAAGCAGTTTAAGATTATGTAAAAAAAAAAAAAAAGTGTGATGTTTGATGCCGTCAAAACAGCAGGCTTTGTTTAATAGTGTGACACAGAGAAGCAAACAAAAGGGGGGAGGAGGATGAGGAGGAGGCGTGGGGGTGTCTGGGTGAAAGGTGGGGGGTTTGGAGGGGTGAATCGGGGGATGCACACGGTGATGAATGCTTAAGGGCCCTGGGGGTAATGATGGTGGTGGGGGTCGTGGGCATTCTTCCACACACACACACACAAAAAAAAGCATAAAGAGTGAGAGAGGGGCTGGGCAACAGGAGATGTTTTATGTGTGTGTGTGTGTGTGTGTGTGTGTGTGTGTGTGTGTGTGTGTGTGTGTGTGTGTGTGTGCGTGTCTGCACTTGGTTGTTTATGTGTATGTGTGCATATGAAAGCAGCAGCAATGCCAGATTAAAAACAATATATGTTTACAAAATGTTTAGTGGAATAGAAAATGTGTTCGATGAAATGTGAAAAGTAGGTCAGGAGGACATTTTGGTGGCTTCCATTTAAATAATGTAAAATATGGGCCTTTTCTCAGAGGGGGAATGATTTGGGAACGCTGCATTAACAATATGTAGCCTCCCAAAAAAAATGTTGCCAAAAGATATCTTGAACCTGTCGTTTGTCTTTCTTTCTGCCTCGAGCACAGATCTACCAAACTCAGTTTATTCATTCTGAGCACAATAAGATATCAGTCACACTTCTGACCTTTCTGCTTTTATCTGATTTCACCGGGCGACTGGTTATTATCTGTTCCACTGTGTGATCCCAATATGAGCTGACAGCAACGTCGGACAGGAGAACAATAACAAAAAAGGCATCCAGATATGAACTTCAACTTCGGGCACATTTGGGTTACGTCTTCCATATTTGAGATAAGGCAGCCTCCAAATCTAATAAAGTGGAATATTTGTCTTTGTATCTATCTTCTCCTCATTTTGTGTTGCCAGTTGTCACCTGGCAGTTGTGTCAGGTGAATCATCAGTGCTAATTTAATTCTCAATGATTATTGGCACTCAACGACGAGCCCCCAGCCATGCTAGACACAGCAGTGCTTTTAACTAAACTCAAACATTTTAACAGGTTTTCACCAAACATCAGATCATCATGTGTGTACTAAGCAAAACGTCATGGCCGTCCACCTTGTAGGGGATAAAAAACTGAAGATTTAATAGATATAGTAAATGCAGTTTGATATATTTTTGGGTTATATTTTTGACAAGTTTGTATACATTCCTTTCATATTAAACCTTTGTTTTATAGACATGTCTAATAATTATTTTGTGAGTGTGTAAGTGTTTGTGATATCTTAAATAAGATTGATCAGTCAGACAGAAGTCCTGCTCCTTCAGTCTTTATCCCCGGATCAATGACCCAACACAGTGGTCAGATATCGCTTATCCAGACATCTGTACGTATTATTATCACATAGGCAGCAAGGACTATTGTGCAGCAAAAAAACTCGAGCGGAACTAAATAATAGTTTAATATGATAAGAAGACTGAACATGCACATGGCATTAAGCTCTCCTCATTCTGAAATGCAGGTCCAATTTATTAAGCATACAAATGACCTAAAAATTTAGTCATAATTAATCAGAATTGGCCCACCAGGAGTTGGCCACTTCCAGGATTCACCGGGCATTTTGTATTTTGATAATATCAGAAATGGATTCAGCATCCTCAATAACCCCCCATAAACCACACCAATATTGTCCAAATCAGCCAAACAGTTGCTGAAATATAGGTAATAATGCAAATGTTTGCTAATTGTGCTAATTGCCCAACATGTGCAAGTTAGCATCTGGCAGTTTCCATATTCTGGGGACCCATACTTCATATTTCTAACATAAAACTTTGTGATTCTCAATATTTCCAGGTTCAAATTGGGACTCTGGCAGAGAGACTATTAGGCCAAGTGTTGTCTGTAAATAACCAACTGTAGATCCGGGTTTGTTGGGTGTTATTGTGCGCTCAAACGTACACCTAAAATCACACTGAAAATTGGTTTGTATGGTTGTTGTCATAGATTCATCCTCAGTGGAACATTAACGTCTTAAACACCGGCCCAGTCCATCCAATAGTGTTGAGCTATTTAAGTCTGCACCTGTTACACGTACACTCTTGTGCAACACATTTAATTTCCTGTTGGAAATATAACAACACAGTATTATTTAGAAGCGCTCTCCTTTGCTTGCATTCTTACTCTTAACTCATCACGTAATGACTTCTTCTATTCTACTGGCGTTTGCTACTGATGCCATAGTAAAATGCACAGAGCACAATCAACAGACCTAGAGTCGCGCTGGCAATATAAATATAAATCAGATATCAGTTAGTAACTTTACATTTTTACAATTTCGCTGGGAAAATAAGTTGAATATTTAGTGTCAATGTGGTCCAAATGTAGAAGAATCTGCCCTGCTGGCATCAGATGTACAGTGACACAGCTGATGACAAGAGTCTTGAGGAGCTTTATTATAGTTACACAACCTTTATGTTCCCTTTGCACAAACACAAACACACAGCCGGAGCCTAATTCTGTCTGGCTGCACGTCGTTTTCCAGTATTTGGGGGTTAATTCTTCTTACAGCTATCATGTCAGACTGAGGGTCACGTGCTGTTGTTGTGACAGTCCAGGCCAACTGCTTTAGTGATATCAAAAAGGGGGACAGTGCTCATCAACACATGGATTAAGGCCATTTAATCCCTCTGGTTCACCTCCAAAACATAAAGACCCCCTCCCCTCCATCTCAGAGGGAATAACTATGATCTGCCACCCATGAGCATAACAAAGATTTATTACATCCTCCATCCCCGCTTCTGTATCTCCTCTATTTGCTCTTTTTTCATATTGCAAGCCACATAATAAAATTCACTTCTAATAAAGTTGAACAAACATGGAAACCCACATTTGGCTACAGCTAGACCTCTTATAGTCAGGATTCTGTTTCCCTACAAATAAAATGTACTCACTTTTCACAGGAAAATACAAAAGGAATAAAAAAGCAATAAACAGATTCTCAAATTTCCTTTGTGAGAAAATGGGGAAATAATTTGACGGATTATTTCCGTACGATACTGTAGGTTATTAGCAATTGCTAGCTCACTTTCTGTTTTCATTGAAACAATGAGTAGGTCTGCAAGAGCAGTGAAAAGTAGCTTGCAAGTTTATGTTAGCAGCTGCACAAGAAAGATGAAATTAACACCTCTTATATCGTCAGAACAGAATGACCCGTGCATGAATTGCTCACAAGTGTGAATTCGATGTTGTTCTAACAACTGGAGCTCCCTCAAACACACACAATACAGCTTTCCTGTAAGAGTGCTGACCTGCAGTCATTTTATGACCCATATCTCTATACATGCAGACTGAATTGTATATACTCTAATTAGCTTCTATCTGTAACAAATTAATGAGAACAGAATCTGGCCTTGGAGCTCTTTTCAGAAGCATGCGGTTTGCTGCACA